AGACAGATACAGACAACAGATACAGATGTGTTATTAGAGAAATCTAATAGACTTTTTCCTAATATTCCCCAGAGTATCAAGGTTGTTTCAAAGATAAGCTTTAGGGCGCCTGGGTGGCTCAGTGGGTTAAACCTCTGCCTTCAGCTCAGGTCATGATCTCAGGGATCCTCCTGGGATCGAGCCCTGCATCGGGCTCTCTGCTCAGCAGGGAGTCTGCTTCCCCCCCTCTCTCTGCCTGCTTGTGATCTCCCTCTGTCTGTCAAATAAATAAATTAAATCTTTAAAAAAAAAAAAAAAGGATAAGCTTTAAAGAAATAGCCCTGCAATTCACTAGTGCATAACCTTGTACGAGTTCTTAAACTTTCTAAGCCTTGCATCACTCATTTTTTAAGTGGGGGCACTAATAAGATGTTTGTTTTGAAGAATAAAGGAAATAATGTGTGTAAAGTACTTAGCCAAGTGCCTGGCCTGTATGTAATACTCAATAATTTGTGTCACTGTTACTCCTAAAGCAGAGACAATGTCCTAAGAGACCGCTACCTGAGAAAGTCCTGCTTACCAGGCTGACCCCTGACTGGCATCTAGGAACTTGGGCTTTGAGAGGCTCCTACTCTTCCCAGCACTGATAAAAAGAGCTCATTGTGCCCCAGCTGTTTGTACAAAAAATATGGTTTACGCTGAACCCCTAGTTTCCTTCTGGAGTCTGGAAATTTGGTACATGATCGAGAGAGCGTGCCTATGTGAGCAGCTCCAACAAAACCCTTGGGTGCCAAGTCTCTAATGCACTTCCCCGGTAGACAACATTTCATAATTGTCACAATCGAATGCTAGAAGAATTGTGTACACCCTTGGAAGACTCCACTGAGAAAAGCCTCTTGCAAGCTTGTGGCCTGGTTTCCTATAGATTTGCCCCACGTGCCTCTTCCCTTTGCTAATTTAGCTCGGACTCCTTCCATAGTCACAAATCATAGCCATGAAGACAACCATATGCCAAGCACTGTGAGTTCTCCTAGTGAATTACCAAACCTGGGGACAGTCTTAGGGATGCCTGACAAAACCAGTCTCCCTACTCCTCATCTTTATAAACTATTTCCAGACTGGAGCAGTGTTATAGACAACAAATGAACCAAATTAGTAGTACCAAAGTCCAATTATAAAAAGCTCCTGGAGCTCCTGGGTGGCTCTGTCAGTTAAGCATCTGCCTTGGGCTTAGGTCATGATCCCTGGGTCCTGGCCCAGGATCCCAGCAGCCTGCTTCAATCTCTCTCTCTCTCTCTCTCTCTCTCTGTCAAATAAATAAATAAAATCTCTTCAAAAAATAAATTAAAATAAATAATATATAGTTCCTGATTTCTTAGCTAATAGTAACTATAGATTTACACACTACTTGAATTTATTTATTCCAAATCTCACCATCTAGAAATCTCTCCATTCCTTGTTTTCTCACCATTATTTAATAAATCTTTTTCCTGATTAAGCTCCAGCCCTGCTCTTCCCTGAATTCCATCTCAATTCCACATGGAGGTTTCTCTCACATGCCCGGGGGGGTCTAACCCATGTGTCATTTGTTCTCGGACCTGAGAACAAGATCACTTCCGAACCCCTCTCCCCTCATCTCCCCAACCTCCCCACCCCCAACCCCCACCCTCACCAGGTCCTGTTTCTATTTGTTATTCTGACTGAGATCAAACAACATCAATTCCTGGAAGGGCTCTTCTCAGTTCATTAGAATATGCAGAAATAATCGCTAATTGAGGGCAGTAAGAGCAAGGAGGACAAACCAAAGAATGGCCCACAGCAGAAATTAAAACACATCTTTGCCAATATCACACTTGGAAGAAACAGCTTGAGTGAATTCCTCATCTAAAACAGAATTCCTTAGCATACTTGGAAAAGCACAATAAACTATATTTAATAGAGAGAAACGCTTGTTGCCATCCTGTTGAAGAGCTGGGGTTCAGAGAACCAGAGGAGGATGCATGTCTGAGTCACATTATGATTAACTGAGAGTTTTAATAAGGCATTGATGGCACTTAATTGCCATGAAGAAACTAGGGATCACAGTGCCTAGATCAGTGAATAGCCTACCCACAGTTTTCCTTTTAAAAACAGAACTATGAACAACTAAAATAAATATCTCTAGGGCTATTTATCCCAACCCCTGAGTCCCATGGTTTTTCTGATCCACCTCTAGCTTTACATTTTTTAAAAAATATTATATTTCAAATACCTATTGATTCTTAAAAGTTACCCACCTCACAGCAATTTTGGATCACAGCTTCTAGGGCTGGGGAGATGGAAACCAGAATAACTGAAACAGGGAAGAAACACGACAGTGGGGTGCTACCGGGCTTACCTAGAAGCCAGGCAGAGAGCTGTCAGGCAGGAACTTAGCCCAGTATGGTCAGACTTTTGCTTTTACAAAAATTCAGATTTTTATTTTAAAATGCCTAACTTTCTACCATGGACAACGATTTATTTTTAACTGTGAGAGGCAAACAAATCTGTAACCGTATTTCAAGCTTAAAGTCATAAATATGTTAGCGAACGTCTGTCCCTAAGAAAAAGAACCCAGGGGGGATCATGGCAGGAGTAGGGATGAGAGCAGGATGAGGCTCACTGGGCTGACCGTCAGCCAGAAGGGAGGTGGACCCTGACACTAAGTGTCGCTAAGTTTCGGAAGCTGGGTATTTTTCTGTCCTTTACGGTTCTTTTTTATTATTATTGTTGTTGTTTTTGTTTTGTTTTGTTTTGTTGTGGCTTTTTTTTTTTTTTGGCTTTTCATTTATTTTCTTTGTTCAGTGTTCCAAGATTCATGGTTTATGCACCATACCCAGTGCTCCATGCAATATGCACCTTCCTTAATACCCACCACCAGGCTCACCCCACCCCCCACCCCCAAAACCCTCAGTTTGTTTCCAGGGTCCACAGTCTCTCAGGGTTTATCTCCCCCTCTGATTTCCCTTCACCTCTCCATCTCCCAATGTCCTCTGTGTTATTCCTTATGCTCCACAAATAAGTGAAACCATATGATACTTGACTCTCTCTGCTTGACTTATTTCACTCAACATAATCTCCTCCAATTCCGTCCATGGTGATACAAAAGTTGCATGTTCATCCTTTCTGGTTCTTATAGTGACTAAGGCTGCTCCCAGGCAAGACAGTGGGCCAGGTTCTAAAATAAAGAGGGGTCCCACTGTTCTCTTTATTCCATTTAATCTAAAACAATTAGGGCAGTTTAAACTTTGTATAGCTACCATCTTCAAAGTGACCTAACAATTGCAACATATTTCAACCGTATCCGTCCATATTTCTAAGCAGATAATATTGATTTCTGAGGCTCTTTTTGCTTAAGAAACTACCATGTTTTACTACTTTCATGGTAATATTTCTATTCTTTTCTGAGACTTACTACATTAAGTTCAATTTATAACAAATAATTACCAAATACCAAAATGTCTTGTTTTCCCTTAAAATCTATTTTAGATTTTAAAATAGTTCATATTTCTAGTCTTATCTGAAAGCCTTTTGGAACTCTGAATTTTTCAGATTTAATAATTGAAATATAGCACATATGCCATATATATACATATATACATATATATCTATATGTATATATATACATACATACACATACATACACACACACACACATACTCCCAGCAGGGACCAGGACAACCCCACATAAATAAACATATTGATATTTGTGCACACAAAAATGCCAAAAAAAAAAAAAAAAAAAAAAGGTCACAGTGACTAGAATAAATTAAGACCAAAACCAGATTCATCTTAGGCCAAGTTTTACAACTCAAAGAGTTTTTCAAATTTGGGGTCTTCAGCATTTCAGCGATTTAGGAAGGAAGATAAAGGACTTTAGTCCTAAATTACATCAGCCTGCAGAATTCCACAAGTCACAACGACAAGCCACAACAGTAATTAACAGAGTTAAGGACAACCAGAAAGAATCAATGATGCCATTCTCTCTGAATTGGGGGAACCAAAACCCAGAGAAACCAGTGGGAGTAAGAAAACAAAAACAAAAACAAGACAAACAACTGAAAAGAATAAATCAATTTCTCAGGAAGTCACTCTAGGTAGGGGGAGGAAAAAAAAAAAAAGAATTAAATAAAACCAAACAATAAGATCACCAAAAATCCCACCGTAACCAACCAGACAACAGCATGTGGGCAAAAGGGACAACACTCTCCAGTCATTCCCTGGAATCCAAGAATATTTCTAGTAGGGAGGAGCATGGCTGGACCTGCAGGACGAGATGCTGCATTTTCAAGATATCAGGAGAAAACAAGGTTGGCCAGAGGCAACCCTACACTCACAGGCCTCCTCTAGTGGGAAAACCAGAGACTAAAACAACTGAAAAGTCAGGAGCTGGCCGCCAAGCAACACGCCCTCACTATGCCCCATGCTCACGGAAGAGCTTGTTAGAAGTTACTTCTCCCTGCTCCCATAAAAGGCACTCTGTGGTAGCTGCTTATCACAAGAAACACTGAACAGTTCTGCTTCTGGTCAGCCTCAGTAATGTGCTGGCTCCACCAAATCTCTAACCCCTTTTAAGTAATTTCCACGTAAGGATGAAGAACTATTCATATAAAGCAATGGACACAGACATAGCGTATATGGGCTAAATTTTGACACATAATACAGTCGTTTATGGGAAGGAGCCATGTGTGTACAATATACTTAATGAATTCCACAAGGACCTAAAACCGATGTGGAAATCTGTTTTCTTGAACAGATTAATTCAATAGGCTGATATAAAATGCACGCCCATATATACTACACCATAATCAAGAGACTTGCGAAGAATTTCTCACCCTATTCTAAGCTTTATCATTCAGATCCAAATGATAACAAATTATTACCTTAACTTCATTTGCCTGAAATTTATTCCATAAGATTGGGAGAGGAGGGCAGAAGGGGAACAATATTATTAAACATTATCAACATAGAAAGCAGCAAAGTAAATTTTTATTGTCTCCTACCTCTGGTCGACCTTCATAGTAGGTTAACATGGACTTTGTTAGCACAAAAAGTCTCTCTTTATAGTTTAAGGGTGATGTCTTCTTTTTCTGTTGTGATCTTTTAATAAGAATCTCTTCTAGAATAGTGTTAAAATTCATCTCGGTCTTCTGATCACTCTGTCTCCTGCCATTGAAGATCCCAGTATTCTAAAGTGAGGGGGGAAAAAAAGACAGCTGAAATAAGATGTGACATCTTAATTTTCCAAAGATGTTTTCAGGCCGAATTACCTGCATCACAGCTGGAGCTAATGAATGTTAGTCTAGCATCTGGACTGAAACTGCCCAGGGCACAGAAGCTCACCCTCTCTTCATCCCCAGGCTCATCCTGTTCCTCCATAACCCAGCATTTCACAAGAAATCTAATCAAGGTTTGCAACGATGATGAGTCACTCCTTTGTACCTCCCCCAGCATCCCATAGGTTTCTGGCACATTCTTCTGCTATCTAATTGCAGGGAAACAAATATCTCAGATGAAAAAGTACCTTCATCACCTCCATGGCTGATTGAAGCTGGTATTTAAATTGCCTCGGGACCCTCGCACCCGAGATGAATGATCACATGGGCCTGGCGGACTTGTGAACAGAATGAATTACCACAGTGGTGGGTAGGGGTCAGTCTCCAGCTCTGATAAAGATGTAATCTTGATCAAACATCCTAGTTACCACAGCCATGAGGATGTTCTCCAATGTCTACACCATGCTTCATAGTTCTCTTTCCTAGGGTTCCTGTCTCAACCACAAGAGAAAAGGAAATCCACCTGGTCACAACTAACAGACTCAGGGAAGAACCCATCTGGACAAAGTCATCAGCCCTGTATTTGGATCCCCCACACCTAAACTAAGCCTTCTAAAATTCAACAAAGTTTAACTATCTGAAAACCCAAAACTACTCAGAAAATACATGAAGATTCTTATTTGATAGAAATTGAATGGACAGCAGCCTTTTCTTCCCTGCCCTTCCCACACATGGCAGTCATTGCACATCAAATCATAGGGTAACAAAAGTCACGTAAAAAACATAAGTGGTTGGGGTGCCTGGGTGGCTCAGTGGGTTAAAGCCTCTGCCTTTGGCTCAGGTTGTGATCCCGGGGTCCTGGGATGGAGCCCCGTGTCGGGCTCTCTGCTCAGCAGGAAGCCTGCCTCTTTTCCTATCTCTCTCTGCCTGCCTCTCTGCCTACTTGTGATCTCTGTCTGTCAAATAAGTAAATATAATCTTTAAAAAAAAAAAAAAAAAAAGAACGTAAGTGGTTACCTGAGAGCAGAGCCAGAGCCTTGACACTGAATTAGCCACTAGGAATTCTACCATTTCCACACCCAAACTTGAAAGTTGAAAGAATCCCTGCATCTCCCTATTACTGATCTGTCATATCCAGTCAGGACCCCCATTTCTGTAAGATTACTTCACAACAGCTTAACCTCTGTGTGTAAGTTCCTTCATTTACAAAACATGGAGATAAATACCCCCAAGGTTATTTTGAGGTTTAATGAGATGTGGGAAAGAACTTGCTTATTATGAAAACCCTATACAAATGTTTACTATCATTATTTTTTTTTAATTCCACTGCCTTTTTCCTAGTTTAAATCCTTACCATCTGGACCATGCTAGCAGCTCTCCAACTGCTTTTTCTTTCCACAGGTTCTTGCCTCATTTTGTTCAAACAACACACTCCTCATTCCCATTGAATCAATCGTCAAAAGATACCACCTTGCATCATACCATTTCATTCACCAGAAATCCCGAATGTCTCCTCAAAACTTCCCTGCCACCTGCAGGAAAAAGTCAAAATTCCAATAATAACACCAGGCAATCACAATCTGGCTATAACCTATCAACCAATCTTTGCTTCCAATGCTCTTCAAATAGTCCATACCCAGCCAGAATAGTTGATATGAAAAATCCACTAGCTCAAAACTTACCTCCTTAATGAAGTCTTTCCTGATGACTCCAATTAATTAAATGCCTTCCAATTCATGCACCCATGATCTCTACATCACTCATCATAGAACTTATCATAGTCTTCCACATTCTATAGCAATTAATATACAGTTTTTAACTTTCACCTAGTTTTAAAGCTTCTAAGGAAAAAGATCTCAACCGTATGTGCACATTAAAATCACCTATGGAGGGGCACCTGGGTGGCAGTCGGTTGCACTTCCTTCCCACTCTAGGATTTGGCTTAGGTCATGATCTCAGGGTCATGAGATCAAGCTCTGCAACCAGCTCCGCACTGAGCAAGGAGTCTGCTTAAGACTCTTTCTCCCTAGGGGCATCTGGGTGGCTCAGCTGGTTAAGCAGCTGACTTTGGCTCAGGTCATGATCCCAGGGTCCTGGGGTGGAGCCCTCCATTGAACTCTCTGCTCAGTGGGGAGCCTGCTTCTCCCTCTCCCTCTGCCTCTGCTCAAGTTCTCTCTTTCTCAAATAAATAAAATCCTTAAAAAAAAAAAAAGATTCTCTCTTCCTAATACAAATCAAAACCAGAGTGAGATACCACATCAGTCAGAACGACTAAAATTAACAAATCAGGAAATGACAGATGTTGGCAAGGATGTGGAGAAAGGGGAACCCTCCTACACTGTTGGTGGGAATGCAAGCTGGTGCAGCCGCTCTGGAAAACTGTATGGAGGCTCCCCCAAAAGTTGAAAATAGAGCTACCCTACAACCCAGCAATCGCACTACTGGTTATTTACCCCGAAGATACAAATGTAGTGATCCAAAGGGGCACCTGCACCCAAATGTTTATAGCAGCAATGTCCACAATAGCCAAACTATGGAAAGAGCCCAGATGTCCATCAATAGGTGAATGGATAAAGAAGATGTGGTATATATAAACACAAACACACACACACACACACACACACACACACACACACACACACACACACAAATGGAATAGTATGCAGCCATCAAAAAGATGAAATCCTACCATTTGTAACAACATGGATGGAACTAAAGGGTATTATGCTAAGTGAAATAAGTCAACCAGAGAAAGACAAGTATCATATGATCTCACTCATATTTGGAATTTAAGATGCAAAACAGAGGATTATAGGGGAGGATAGGAAAAAAATAAAACAAAGCAAAACCAGAGAGGGAGACAAACCATAAGGGACTCTTACTCACAGGAAACAAATTGTGGGTTTCTGGCAGGGGGCGGGGTTCATGGGGCAATCGAATGATGGACATTACAGAGGACATATGATGAAATGAGCCCTGGGTACTATGTAAGACTAATGAATCATTGAACTATAGCTCTGAAACCAACAATGTATTATATATTAACTAACTGAATTTAAATTAAAAATAAATAAATATTTGGAAGGAAATTAATTAATTAACTAATTAAGAGACTGCCTCCTAAAATTTTAAAGATTTTAATTAATTTTAATTAACTAATTAACTAATTAATTAATGGGATAGACTGGAGTTCAAAAATAGACCCATATATATTTGGACAAAAGAGTATATGATTCCATTTATATAAAGTCTAAAAACAAGCAAAAACTAATCTATGGTTATAGAAATTAGAAAAATGGTTGCCTATGCAGGGATGGGGGGTGGGGTAGAGGCGGACCAGGTGGGACTATGAGGAAATTTTCTATGTCTCAACTGGGGTAGAGATTACATGAATGTGTATAAATGTATTACAACTCCTTGAAGTAGGACAAAAAAAAAAAAAAAAACCTCTCCCTTCCCCTCTGCCCGTCTCCTGCTCTTGCATGTGCACCCTCTCCCTCTTAAACAAGAAAATCATTAATTAACTAATTAGTTTTAAAAATCAAGGTGGGAGATGTTTTGAAATGTACAGGCCCCACACCCAGATATTTTTATTCAGTTGGTCTGGGGTGGGATCCAGGGCATCATGATTTAATATGCAGGTAGACTGGAGAACTGCTATCCTAAAGGAAAAGGTTGGGCTCTCAACGTAACTCTAGCACTCTTGGTAGTTAGGGCATCCTCTCAATAAGCAGCTGGATGACGGACCCAGTGAAGCCATCAGTTATTCTAAGTTAAGAAGTCAGGGGAAAGTTCTTGCTCCAAAGAAAATCTCTAGTTCCTTTTGCATCTCAGTTGGTCCTCCTTATTCTAAATTAAAATTTTAGTACCTCCCCCTTTTTTTTTCCTGAGAAAACAGTTGATGTGTAAATGCCACTTCAGAAATCATCTTTTCATCTTTGTGTAACACATTTTCAATGCAGGGCAAAAGTGACAACTTACAGAATGGATTGTAAGTGAAAAGCAAGCTATGCCCTGGAAAACAGGCCACATGCAGATGTATAGTTCCCAGGCCAGTGAGTAATACCGTAGTTTCCAAATAAAAGGCAGATTTTTGGAAGATGAAATGAGGTGGGGCTCATCTGCAGTTTTAGAAGCAAAAGTCTCAACCTCCAGGGGCAGGAGAAAATACAACATGTTAAATGCATTGAAAAAAAAAATCCCCTTATCTGATTTATAAGTGATATTAAATAGTCTTACAAAGAAGATACCAATTGAGTTGAAATAAGTGTTAGACATCATCTATTTCACTCATTTTACAAATTAAAAAGCTGGGGTTTTGAAAAGCTTAGCAACTTTCCCAAAGTCACCCAAGCCAAGACTAGAAGAAAAGTCTCCTGGTTCCAAGTGAAGGGCTCTCTCCACCGTTCCCCACCATATAATTAAAAGCTCACTGTTATTTTAATAATTCATTGCTTCAAGGGAAATCCTGGCCAAAGAAAACTGTTAAGGGACACAAAGATAAAAACAAAGGAATATTCTCTTCATGTAGACTTCCAACTGAAGATAGAGTGTTGTATGTACACAGTTGCATTAGCTCCCTCCTGAAATCCCATTAAATCAGTCCTTTGTTTTTGCTGTTGTCACCATTAAGGAATTAACTCTCATGGAAACAGAAGACAGGACAGGAGATTTCAACAAAATTTGGGAAACTAAAAACAAGTAAACATGTGGTAGTTCCAGCCAGGAGAAAGCCTGGAAACAACCCAATGTGTGCCACAAAGCCTCCAAATAACTCAAGAATCAGCAGAACTTGGCATGTCTATGAGTGATGGTGAAGAAGACTTAGAAGAAAAGGATTGTTTGTAGGTCTGTATAAGGTGGGTCCTCCATGCCCTCTCCCATACCATACAGCCAAGTGACTAATCCTCCCCCAAACCTAGGAGGTTTATAATACAGAAGGTCTCTATACTGGGAGAAACTACGAATAGTTGAGGCTAGGGGTACCATACTGCAAAGGGGGGCTTAAGTGAACCCATACAGGCATATATACTCAATGGTGAGATCGCTCAGCTCTCTTTTCCCATCTGACTCCACAATACTAGATAAGGACCAGACTAAAGAGTAAAGACCTACAGATACAGATACAGGGGAGATCCTATGGCCCAGAAATGGCCCAGCCAGATTACCCTATAGGAAAGTCCATAGTCAGCAAGTTCCAACCAGAGCACAAAGCTTCCAATGGACTTTTAGAGCCCAATACATGAATAAGAAAAAGCCAAGAATCAGTAAACCCCTAAGAAAAGATTCTAATATGAATTCAAGGTCAAATAACAAATTGGGGGAGGGGGGAGCCACTTGGAGGAAACAAAGACTCTGCAGAGAAAAGAAAATGTTAAAAAAAAAAGTAATAAAATCAGAGCTAAGGGAAGATACTGCGTGCATGAAACAAGATCAGGATACAGCCAAAATAAAGAACAGAAACCAACAAAGAGGAGCA